TGCAGCTGGACTACCCGATCTTCTACGTGATGTTCGTGTGCATGGTGGCCACTGCCGTCTATCAGGCCACGTGCGTTGCATTTCCTCCACTCTGGGGCCTGGTTTCATTTGGTTGAGAAGTTGTAGGGCAGCCGGAGCATACAGGGAGCCAGTTTAGCATCAGGGTGGAGATAAACTCTTGGGGCAGGGAGTGGAATCCAAACACACACACACACACACACACACACACACATCCCTCCCTGTCCCAAGTGCTCAAAGTTTAAGAAGCAGCCTGTCAGCCGGGCGGTGGTGGCGCACGCCTTTAATCCCAGCACTCGGGAGGTAGAGGCAGGCGGATCTCTGTGAGTTCGAGACCAGCCTGGTCTACAAGAGCTAGTTCCAGGACAGGCTCCAAAACCACAGAGAAACCCTGTCTCGAAAAAAAAAAAAAATAAGAAGCAGCCTGTCATCTGCCCTATGGGAACTTGAGAAGAAGCCTTGCCGTCACCGAGGAGGCGCTTGCTTGGAGAAACAGAGTTGTCATTTCCTGTCCTCGAGAACTCGGCCCCGGCCCTCACAGAGAAAAGAGTGCACGCTCATTTCTACCTCTGAGTATGGGTGATGTGAAGCTTTGCAACCCTGAGAGCAGGCTTCAGTCCTGCCCCCTTCCCCGTCTGAGTCCTAGAGCCCTTCCCGCCAGAGGACTAGAAGGAAGTGGTACTCCATGAATATTAGGTGACAACCTGAGTCAGTCAGGATTCAAGATGGTGGGTGAGGCTGAGCCAGCCTGAAGGTCAGGTTCCTAGGTCTAGCCTGAGCTCAGTACCCTGACCTTGAGGGCCATCGCAGCAGCTGCTGCTGCTGCTGGGGGCTCCATCTTCAGATCACCTATGTTCACAGCACCCTGCGGGGCTGGCTGGAGATGGTATTGTCTGTCCCGTGTTGGGAGGCAGAGGGAGATTAAAGCTAGGACATGATAAATTGAGGGCTGAATTTAAGCATCAGGTTCCTAGTCTGAGCCCCTCTTCATCTGCTCCTCCAAGTCCCACAAGGCTGCTCTGGGGTTCAGCTTCACCCTATGCAGCTGAGACCCACAGATCTGCCCGAAGTACCCCAGCTTGGCGCCCACACACGTCATGAGTTTTGTCACTGCTACCGTTTGACTATCAGGACTTTTAGCCCCTCAACACTATTATAGCCCTCCTAAGGAGAACCTTTGCCAGGTACACAGGTTCAGTGCTGAGAGATCGGGGTCACACAGGCAACCAAGAACTCCTGCCACCTCTTAGGAACGTATGGTCTCCCAGTCAGGACAGTCCCTCAGCACACAGAGCCACAATCCCCCTCATAGGTCTCAGGGATACAGCCTGTGCACAGACGGTTAGCTTAGCGGCTAGTGTTCCTGCGGGCAGCTGTGCAGTGCTGGCTGGGATGTCAACAGGGAATTGGACAGAGGCTCAGTTCCCACATGAAGGTGGTGTCTGCCACAGACAAAATAGGAGCTGACTTTTCCTTTCTCCCGTTCATCGCAGTAACCACTAACATGTTTCTAGTATTTTAAAAAATTACAACATTGGGCTGGCTGTGACAAGTCCCATGAGACTGTCCTGGGATGTGTGTAGACCCAGGAGAAGCTCAGTTCAGTGAGGTGGGGACCAGGGGTGAGGAAAAGGGTGTGGCCATGGCCACAGTCACACAGTCAGAGGTATGCCGCAGAAGGGCTTCAGTCTGTGGGCCAAGCTCAGACCTCAAATCTTTAGGTCCCCAGCACTGTAACGGAGAGAGTCCATTCTTATAGACCTAGAAACCCTCCCCATGCCTTGCCTTGTACCCCAAGTTCCTCTCTTACCCCCCTTAGCCCACTGACCCAAGTACCTGTGTGTTGCAGGTTTTTGAGTCAAGCCTCTCAGATCTATGATTCCTCCTTGATTGCCAGCGTAGGCTACATCCTGTCCACCACGGCAGCCATCACAGCAGGTGAGAGTTGCCCGTTATTGGGTTTCTGTGTCCTGCCTGAATAGAGGGACCTGGGTGGGGGTGGGGGCCTACCTCTCTCTGCTTTCTGGATCTGCCTGTGGTTTTTGTGGAGGGCATGAGATTTGGAGATGAAGGCTTGCATTCCGACAGTCGTTATGCCAACCATGTGGCTCAAGGAATAACCACCCACCTTCCAAGCCTTGGTTTTACAGGTCTAATAACACTTCCTCTCTAGAACTGCAATATATATGATCCAAACATCCCCCGTTGTTCCTCCTGCTGTGGGTCCTGGGCAGGGCTTCTCCAACAGTGTAGGTCGTCGAGGCTAGGATGTGGTTCTGTTGGTAGAGTGTTGACCTAGTGTGAACAGAACCCTGGTTCCATCCTTCATGCTGCAATAACCAGGTCTGGCTATGCACACCTTACCTGTCATCCCAGCACTTGGGAGGTAGAAGCAGAATGAGAAGTTCAAAGTCATCCTTGACTACCTAAGGAGCTTGAGGCCAGCCTGGGCTACATGAGAGTCTGTCACAAAAAAAAAAAAAAGAGAGAGAGGTGAGGGCAGGAGGAGATGAAGGAACAAACAAACCAGGGATGGTGGCTAGAGCCTGTAAGTCTAGCACTTGGAAAGCTGAGGCAGGAAATTATCAATTATCAATTATTGTGACCTGTGGCTAATGATAGGGATGAGATTAGAGGAAGTGTATACAGAGCTTTGCTATTTGGAGCAGTTGAATATTATCTCAAAAGTTTGTTTGACTATGGGGATATAAAGAGCCTCCTAAGACAGTCACCTCCGAAGGAGTTAGTCCTAGTGTTTTTGGTCACCTTGGTACCCTGCAAGGAAGAGCAAATAGCGAGAGGCTGCAAGGGGTGAGCACAGGAAATGATCCCAATCTCTTCTCTCCCTTGCTGCTGCAGGTGCAATCTTCTACCTGGACTTCCTCGGGGAGGAAGCGCTGCACGTCTGCATGTTTGCCCTGGGGTGAGTCCCACTCTGTCTAGCCAGGACTTGCCCCTGACCCATTGCTTCAGCCCTGGTCCTGGAATGGAGAGAGTTGCTAGCCGGAGGGTGCTGGCTCCAAAAGTGAGCAGCTGGCTCCTCAAAGGCCTGCAGCCTTCTCTCCTCTTGTCATTTCTGATAAATGTAACTCGTGGGGAGAGAAGTCAGGTGGTAGAGACTCTGGGCATGGTGGGGCATGAAGAGAAAAGGCACCGAGGTCCTTCCGGGAAGCTGGGCTGGGGCTTATTTGGTTCAGTTCCTGCCTAGCATGCTAAAACTCTAGGTTCCATCCCGAGCAATGAATGAAACCAGACAGTGTGGCACTGACTTCTTATGCCAGTGCTCAGAAGATAGAGGCTGAAGGATCAGTTCAGGGTTACCCACAGCTGCTTAGAATCGTCTAGAGCAGTGGTTCTCAACCTGTGGGTCACAACCCCTATGGGGGTTGAATGACCCTTTTACAGGGGTCACATATCAGATCTCCAGCATACCATATAGTTACATTATTAGTCATAATACTAGCAACATTACAGTATGAAGTAGCAATGAAAATAACTTTATGGTTAGAGGTCATCACAAAGGTTGAGAACCAGTGCTCTAGGGGGATAGAAGTCTTTCAATCTTGACCTGGTAGGTGAACATACACACACGTGAATAGAGACTGTCCATCTTTCTTCTTGGGCTCTCTGCATCACTGCCTGTAAACTGCACCTTGATTTTGAGGAACTGCTTCTTTCCATACACTGAGAGAAAAGAAAAACCGAGTGGGATGGCGCATACCCTTAATCCCAGTTCTGGGGTGGCGGGTGGAGCAGAAACAGGTATATAGGTGAGTTTAGGTCACCCTGATCTGCATAACAAGTTCCAGACCAGCCAGAGCAATGTACTGTGTGTGTGTATGTGTGTGTGTGTGTGTGTGTGTGTGTGTGTGTGTGTACGTATGTGCGCAAGAGAGAAAGAGAGGAGACATAGGGACTTTCTAGTATATCCATTGTCGTGCTGCTAGACTTTTATACCAACTGTATTCAAATTTTTTAGAGCTGGGTGGTAGTGACACATGCCTTTAATCCCAGTAACCCCAACCCTAGGGAGACAGGCAAGTATGAGGCCAACCTCATCTACAGAGCAAGTTCCAGGATAGCCAAGGCTGTCTTGAAAAACCATAAAATAAAGCAAATTTTTTTAATTTAAAAAAAAATACAGCTTTTTAAAGGGCATACTTTTGAGAACACTGACTGTAGGAAAGTAGATGAGCCACATGCTACAAATTTCCCCGGAAGACTTGAGACAACTCTGAATCCTGTAGCACAAATAATAAAATCCCAGAGACAAATATTGGGGCTCAACCGAAAAGCAGAAAAGCAAAGCAGCCAAGCCACTAGAGAAGGTTTACCTCTACCAAGGCTGGGCGACCTCAGACTAAGCGGACTAAGCCTCTGTCTCCTCCCATTTTATATTCCCTTTGGTGCTGGGATTCAAGATGTGAGGCACCACCACCTGGATTTGTTTCTGCATTGATCGTGTGTAGCCCAGGGTAGCTTTGAACTCACAGAGATCCCTCTGCCTCTGTCTCCCAAATCCTGGGAATAAAGGTATGTGCCACCACTGCTGATCTCTATCTAGTGGCTTAGCTTTGCCCTTCTGATCTTTAGGTAAACTTTATTTATTAAAGCATAAATAAAATATCACTATAGAGTCCAGTTTGTGGACTCTAGATATGTGGCCCCTGTTCCCTGTCCCGCCCCCAAGCTGTTATGCACAGTATCTCTAGCTGGTTGCCTGCCCTGTGGTCTCCGCTCTCTTTAGCTGGCCCTTAGCCACTTGCCCTCAAGTCCCCTCCTCGTGGTTGCTCCTGGTCTCACTTCTCTTCCTCTCCGGTCTTCAGGTGCCTCATCGCCTTCCTGGGTGTGTTCTTAATCACGCGAAACAGAAAGAAGGCCATTCCATTCGAGCCCTATATTTCCATGGACGCCATGCCAGGTAACGAAGCCCCGCCCCTTCCTCCTCCCCCCTCCTGCCTCCCCCGTGCCCTGCTGGCTGCTCTTGTAGGGTGATGTAGCATGACTGCTACTTGGTGTAGGAAGCGCAGTGAAGGACAGGTGTGCTGTGGTGTGAGTTCTAGCCCTGTTTTTTGTTGGTTTGTATCGCTTTCAAGCTCTTCTTTCAAATGAGGAGCTGATGGCTGAGGCGCCTCAGTTGGCCTTGAGAACCCCTTGCCAGTTCCCAGGTCTGTCACAGGGTCTTGGAAAGAAAACCTCGACTTACATCAAGTGTCGCTCCAATCAGCAGCACCAGGCCCTGAGCCTGCAAACAGAGAAAGAGAGAGAGAGAGAGAGAGAGAGAGAGAAACCGACAGAGAGAGAGCAAGAGAGGGAGAGAGAGAAAGGTCAGTGAGAAAGAAAATTAACATGAACAAATCCAACACTATAACCTCCATCCTGCCCCACCGTACTTTCCAGGGAATTGAGGGCTCACACTGGGAACCCAAGCTCAAATGGTGTTTAGCCATGGCTAGAACCACTTAGCATTCAGCCACACACAGGTGATAGGGAGGTGTGGGGATTGTGGTGGGCTAGGAAAACTGAGTGGGACAGATAAGAATGGATTAGCCTGGGTTAAGTTAGCTGATATAAATTCTCCAGGCTACTAATGATCACTAACATGACCTCTGCTGCCATTACTGGGCGTCCCCTGACAAGACAGCAGTGTCGTGGGTCTGTAAAGGGCACAGAGATAAACCACTCTGGAGACGGTTCAGGGAACAGCATCTGCTTTAGTGTGTGTGTACAACTTATACAGTGGAAGATTGCTAGGATTGCTTAGCACATAACCGCAGAACGGACAGTGAGCACCCACACCACCAGGGTCTCTCCACAGAAAAAGCTCATTAAAGTTGTTCAGATTCATCCCCCTGCCAGCTACCGGCTACTCACGCCACTTCAGAATTCAGTCTTTTGACTTCAGGAGCATGGTGTGCCATGCTTCTTACATAGAGGTGCAATATACCAGGTAGGCTGGGCACCAGACCATGCCTGCATTTTCTTCTACTTTTTCACAACATAATCACGCATCCTCCAGTCACAGAATCTATAAACAAAGTATGAACACATATGTCAGCCACATAAAATAGTCCCTCATCGAGAGCAGTTCTTAAACACTGGTAACAGCATGCACCTATAATCCCCAGCATTTGGGAGGCTGAGGCAGGAGGATCATGAGTTCAAGACCAACCTGGGCTACATAGCAGCATGACTCAGCTTTTAGGTTTTGATGCCTTGACCCAAGCGTGTTCTCAGGACTGATTGATGTGCTCCCGTGTCGAGTGGCCCCAGCCGCACCCGCTTACTGGTTTGTTTGTTTGTTTGTTTTATCTTGCTCTGCTAAGCTGCCCTCTGCCCTGCTTGCTGTGGCCAGCCTGCCTGAGTAGGAGTAGAGAACCCCATGTCAGCATTTTCATTTGGCCCGACTCAGCCACGTGTGGATGAACGCAGAGTGGCTGAGTGGGGCCCTGAGGTTTCTCCTGGCAGTTCAGGGCTCGAGCTATCAGTGCGTGGACTGTGTTAACGTCGAACCTGGCTGCTCAGATGCCTCTTCTGCTTACTTCCTTGTCTCTCGGCTGTGTTCCGGATAGATGAGGGCGCTGGATAGCTGAATCCCAGATAGGTGAGGTGTCAACTCTGTGTGCGAGTATGTGTATGTCCCCGTGTGTCTGTGCGTTTATAAACTGTGTGTCTGTCCATACACATGTCCCTGTGTGCATACGTACACTTCTCTGATGGGAAGTAGGGGGGGACGTTGGCTGGTCCTAGAAGCCAGGATTCTATGACCAGTTTGTGGGTGTGGCTCTTTTACCTCATGACCTCAGTAGGAAATGAGGCACTGAAGATCGAAGACCTTGTCCTTTCGCGGTTGAGACAATCCTACTGGACACATAGAGTTCACATGGCTCGATTCACATTCCAACTCTGCCCTCTGCCACCTTCCCCCCATAAGGCGTGTCGAGGCCCCTCACCCTCACTCTTATCTCTGGGTTGCGGGGTGCATGTGTCAAGGCTGTGGGCACAGTGTCTGGGATGTGGTAGATGCCTGACTAGTTTTGCCTTTGCTTCCATTTTTTTTTAAAAAAAACTTTGAAGTTTTGGGCTGAGTAGATGGCTCAGTGCATAAATACTTGCTCTGCAAATGTGCGGCCCCATGGATGGATCCCCAGCACCCACATCTGGACCTGGCCCAGCAGCGCGTGTCTGGAGTCCTAGTGCTGGTGGGGGCAGTGTAACTAATCAGTGTGCTCAAGGGTCAGTGAAAGACCCTGGCTTAAGACAATCTAAAGCAGAGAGTGATCAAGGAAGACACTCAGCATCAACCTCCAGCCTCCACATGCACACACAGGCACATTTGTGTGCCTGCACACACACTACACACACACACACACCACACACACCACACACACACACACACACACACACACTTCCAGGATTTTAGCACATGACTTGCATGGTCATCAACAGAACCACTTCTCCAGTTACTTGCTTTCTCTGGTCATGGGATCTGGCCTTTGACTGTCTGGTTTGCTGCCTTTAGATTCCAGGACTTCAGGATACATCACAGCTGGAGGGGCTTTCTTAGATGGATAAAGAGAACAGCAGCCCTGGCTGTCAGGATCACGGGAGCCTCCACAGGCTCTGTGGTCCGTGGCCCACTAGAACCCACTCCTCAGAGCTCATCAGTAGAGCCATGCTCGTCTGGATAGGTGTCTCTATGGACAGGAACACTCTGTTACCATGTCTGAGCATAGACCAAGTATGGCCACTGTCCAAACCACAGAAAGCAGAGGTGCTGTTCCTAGACTGGCTTGCGTGCTAGTTAATGCGGATTTATATCACAGTCTGAGCCTTGTCCAGTCTTCTAAAAGAGAATCAATCAGGTCTCCAAGGACAGAAGTATCCCATTTCCTAACAGTGTCAAAATCTGAGCCCTCCTCAGGTCCCCCAACCCAAACCTAAGACCCCCTAGTAGATACCCCTAATACTCCATGTTCTACGATGCAAACCCATACCCATCACACTCTTGTGGACTGGTGGCATAGGGCTGGAGGCACTGACAAAATTCAAAGCTATGCAGTGCTCAGTAAACTAACTCTCCCCTGAGTAGTAGACACCTTCACCTGCCCTGCTACGCCCATGAGCCCCAAATCATAAACTTATTTGTTTTAAAGACGGGGTCTTGTGTAGCTCAGGTTGGCTGTGGACTCTATATGACAGAGGATTACTTTGAACTTCTGAACCTCCTGCTTCTGCCTCCTGAATGCTAGGATTACAGGGATGATTTTATGTGGTGCCTGGGATCCAAACCAAAGCTTTGTGTGTGCTGGGCAAGCAGGCATGCCCTCTGCTGATGGAGCCACAGTCCAAGCACAGACCACAGACTCTTAAACTGGTCCTCAAGACAACCATCCATTGTGTCTGCATCACGTGGAGGCTAGAGGCCTTCTCCGGCTGATGTTAAAGCTTCAGGCTCCCAGGCTGGGTTCCAGCTGCTCTTTGGCTGGATGACGTTAGGTGAGCTGCTCTGCCTCCTGGAACCTGTTTTATTATCCAGGACGTGAGGGTGCTAGTTTCTCTCTGTCCTAAGGTTGTTTAGGGATTACGTTCAGTCTGTAGGGCGGCCCCATACCACTCCAGTTAAGAACATAGGCTTTTGAGTTTAAACAACCTTGTGCTAAACCCTACCACTGCCTCTCAGCAGCTGTGGCCCTCGGGTAAGTTGCTTGTGGCTCTCTGTTCCTTCTCCACGGCCTCACGGATCAGATGAGGCAAAATTGGGTGAACATTTGAAACAGCATATGTTACCTTCTAAATGCTAGCACACCTCAGCCACAGGCATTACTGCTGGCGTTGGTCTCCAGCCGTGTAGTGTTAGCCCAGTGCGGAGGGTGTGCCAGGCAGTGAGAGACAAGCTGTTCCCATCCTTTCGCAGGAGACACTTGGCATTTAGTTAGGGAACGAGTTGGCCCCCACGTGATCTCCTGGAGGGATTGTAGGAAAAGGTCACAGGAATTGAAGATTACGTTCCTTAAGCCAGGCATTGGCGGTGCAGGCCTCTAACCCTAGCATCTGGGAGGCAGAGACAGTTAATTCAACGTGATGATGTGCTTAGAAAGTTCCAGGTCAGCCAGGGTTATAAAGAAAGACCCTGTCTCTCAAAACAGTAATAACACAACAGTAACAACAACAACAACACTGGGTCTTTGTTTCCCATAAATGTAATAGAAATCAGACCTCGCCCTACCTAGAGATATGGAATATCAGGTCAAAGGTCAAACACTCCCTCCAGTCATCACAATGCTACTCTCATTGCTGAGTCTCCAGGGTACAAAAGTCGCCCTATTTCCTCAATGCTAAGTAAGCTTCCTGGATCCCTGAGTTGATTCAACAGCAAAGTGGCATCTACCACGTCCGGGGCACGTGTCCTGCCCTGCCCACCTGCCACTCAGGATGCCAACACCTTCCTTCCTGCTGTGTAAACAGGAGCATTTCCTCTTAACTCTAAAGCAGCTGGGGAATCAGGACTGCACTTGACTGGCTCCTGAGCTCTGGGAGGGTCTGTGGGGGGAGCGTGGAAAGTTCAGCCTCCCTTCCCACGTGATGACTGGGGCCATGGATGTCATTACAGGTATGCCGGACATGCATGCAAAGGGAACGACGGTCCAGCCCGACCTCAAAGCTTCTTTCTCCTACGGGGCCTTGGAAAACAATGACAGCATTTCTGAGATCTACACCCCGGCCACACTGCCCGTCATGCAGGAGGAGCACAGCTCCAAAAGCACCCCTGGGGTTCCCTACCGTGTCCTGGAGCACACCAACAAGCAGTGATCTGCCTCCCTTGGGGGCATAATTGCCCACAGCCCCGCCCCCCATGGCTCCGCCCTTTTGTCCAACCTGCCTTTCAAGTATCCTGGTTTTAAACCGAGAACTCTGTAAGATGATCTTGGGAGGCCCTTGTCTCTGGCAGAGAAGCCATTCAATGTCCTTGGCCTTGGAAGACATTTCAAGTTGTTGGGGAGCATGCCAGGTGGGCTGTATGGCAGGTTAGCCTGGTGGGGGTTGAGTGAGCTTAGGTAGTGGCTGCAGCCTACCACACATTCCCTAGAGCGAAGGCAAGACAGAGTCAGCCCCCTCTTTATACGTCCAGCGAAAGGCTGGAGACCCCCACCGTCGGTCTTCCTTTACCACCACGCATGCCTCAGCTCTACCTGGCACACTCATGAGTCTGTGACTATATTGGTGTCCCTTTTGCTGAGCCCAGCAGGGCCAGCCCTGAGTGGAACAAGCTGTCGTCTGCACCTTGGTGGTGTGCACGGGCCTTCCTTCTGTGAAGACCTGCTGGTGAGTTCCTGCTGGGCCTGCTCTGAAAACCGGCTTGGTTCAAGTCCTGTGAAGATTATTTCATTGTTTCCTCCCTCCAAAGAAGTCGAGTGAACAGAGGGTGAGGGGGACAGAAGTAAGGCAAGGGGAGGGGGCTTTCAACCCTCTCTGCTTCAAACTGATAGAGAGGTTCCTGGTGATTTCTGGCTCGGTGACTTTCCTGCCAGCTTCGCGGGATGTGCCGAGGCCTGAGTAGGACAGACTACTCTTTCTCTGGCACATCTGGCTCCTGGGAAGAATCTGGAGCCCTCACACGGATCCACTTCCATCTCCTCCCCTTCCGTTCCTTTAAGACCGCTAAATAGCTAAGCTTCACCTCCTGTTTCCCATCATTGGAGCACCGGGGTCTCCGGCCCTGAGCTGGGTCCAGGCTGAGCAGGCGTTTCTCACACACAGGTCTGCAGCTTTTTCCTTGTCTATATCATGGTTAGCACCCCCACCCCCACTTCCGGACCGATGTGCACATTTGAGAGTGGCAGGCAGAGGCTTGCAGGCTTTTAAGGGCATCAGAATCCCATAGGGGTTTGTTTAAAATGCCGGTTTCTCACTCGAGCTCTGGTGACCTGTCTCAGGGGACCTGGAGTGGGACCCAAGAGTCTGCATTATTAGTGGGCATCACAGGAGATCTTGAATCCCAGAACCCAGAAAGCCTACTCCCTTAGAAACCTCCTCATGGGCCACTAAATCTAGAGAGTGTCTACACAGCCCTACCAGAAGGTTCACACCTCCAGTTTTCTTACCCTCTCTGGGTTCTGCAGGCAAGCTGGATGGCCCCAGAGGACCTAGGGCAGTCTCTACTCAGTAAACCCCGCTCTAAGGTGACAGTGTTAATAGGTCAGTGTTGATAAGCCATCCTCGCCACAGCTCTTCACACCCAAACAGAATGACGCCATCTGGCACAGAGTCCCTAACCACGTCTGTATTTCCTCTTGACCATGTCTGTATTGTGGCTTACATGCCTGAGGTAGAGACGGCGGCAGAGCAAAGGCTCCGTGGCTCAGTCACACTGGAGGGCTTTTTACCATGTGATTAGCTCACAGAACTACACGCACGGAGCTCTGCCCTCCGGGGCAGGCTGTGCCGCAGAGAAGGATAGACAGAGGCCTTCATGAGGCTGGTCCCAGTACCAGAGGGTGCTCAGAAGTGGAGGTGGTTTTCACGCATTCATGGGTACTGGCAAGTGTAGCTAAGACTAGAGAGCTCTCAAGGGAACGGGCAGCTTTGCAAAGTCAGAGATTGGAGCCAAGGGTTGTCAAAGAGCCTCAAAAGACAAGCAGTGAGGCCCGGCGTGGTGCTGCACGCCTTTAGTCCCAGCACTCGAGAGGTAGAGGCAGGCAGATCTCTAAGTTTGAGGCTAGCCTTGTCTACTGTTCCAGGACAGCCAGGGCTACAAAGAGAAGCCCATGTCTCAAAAAACCCAAAAGAAGAAAGAAGACGAGCAATGGAAGTCGTGGATGGCTTCACACTGGTGGTCCCGGCCGCTGGGAGGCTTTTTCTTTCCTCCAGGAGGATTTGCCACACGTCCAAGAGGAGCCAGTGAAGGCAGACTCCTCTCGAGGCTTAACTAGCTGTCAGAGGCATGTGTTCTAGAGAGTGCGGGAGCCACAGAAGATTTGTGAGGAAGAGGCTAGCAGGGCCACCACCTACTGGAAAGGAAACCCTGTTCTGGGGTGGGATTGGGGGGGGAAGCAGGGGCAGGAGATGGAATATTAAGTCACCCTCAGGGTCAGGCCCCAGGTCCCTAGGAACAGAATTAAAATCAGATCTTGTTTCTGTTCTGATAGTACCTGTTCTGGGGTGCATAGCAGGAGGGAGGTCTGAAGCTGACAGGGATCGGGAAGTGGGTGAGCAGGGAGGTTAAGCATGGCAACCCAAGTGGGCACCCATCATTTGGGCATGGCATGTGTGCCCAGCCTCCCTCTGCCCCTCCCTTCCCTCTTCTGTGGGCTGTTTAGCCCTGGCCAACCTGAGATACAGGTATACTGTAACTGCAGGCAAATGCAGAAGAGGTGGGCAGTGCCACCCAGGAACGCAATGGCTTCTAGGCTGAAGATGGTGGCCACCATCTTACAAGTTGAACCGTGAGAGATGAGCAGAAAGGCCTTTGAGCTCCTGAGTGGAGATGGGGCAGGGCCTGGGAGACCTGTCTCCAGCGTTCCCACCCTGTCCTAGAAGCCTTGATTTGCCCCTAGGTGTCATCAGATAGTCAGCTGACTACAGGACTGCCCACTTCCTACCCACAGCCCTGACTGATTTCACTCCTGGCTCTAACAGCACCTACTCACTCCCATTCTTTCCCATCCTCACCCTGAAGATAGGCGTTAAATACGTAGCCCAGGCTGGTCTTGAACTCTCAGTCCTCCTGCCTCAGCCTCAGGAGTACTGGGATTATGGCTGAGTGCTACCTTGTCCAGCTCCCATCTGAACTCTGCTGGAAACATCAAATGTCACACCGCTGCCTCTTCCCAGCCCTGAGGCACCTCCAACAGGTCACCAACTGTGGGTTCAACTTGGTTTGTTCTCTTGTCTTCCTCTCCCACCCCCATTCTGGCTCTCTGTTCTTCAGCCTGGGGTTCTGGGTCCCTGAATAGACATTAGAACAAATGTTCGTGTGGACTGCTGCTTGAGAAGAGGGGAGCCCTGGCCCCACACTGCCGCCTGATGACACCCTCACTTTCAGCACCGGGGCTTGGGGCATCAGTGTGCAACTGAGTGCTGGGTGCGGGGAGAGCCTTTCTGGTGGACCCAGCCAACTTGAGGGTACTGTGCTAATGGCCATCAGAGAAGAACTGGGCCCTGCCCACCCCTGCAGTCCTGCAAATTTCAAATGTGACCCAGCCCTAACTGACAGTGAAGGCGCCGTGTAAATGAAGTCACTCTAGAATATAGTCTATAGATGCTTATATTTTGTTAACATCAAAACTAATACAGCATGTGTTAGTTCACAAAGAATGTGTGTACTGTGTGCAGATAACATTATAAAGTGGTATTTAATTAAAATTCCAAACAGTACTTTGGAGCTTGAGTCTTGTGTTCAGCTAATACTTCAGCAGCTGCCTAGTAGAATGTTCCATATCAGTTCTGCCTAGCCATCCACACGTGGTTACTGAGCACTCTAAACATGGCTAGTGTGACTGAGGAACTAAGGTTTTATATTGTGTGAATGTGTGTGTGTGTGTGTGCCCCGCATGTCCAGAGGACTTTTGGGGGTCAGTTCTCTCCTTCCACAATGTATGTGGGTGCCTGGCATCAAGCTTGGGTTGACAGACTTAGCAGCAGGTGCCCTTACCTGCCATCTCACTAGCCCCGAATGTTCTACCGCAGAGCCACACCCCTTTCAGTTACTGTGCTAAAACACTGTGGCCAAGAGCAACATATGGCTCCAGAGGGGTAAGAATCCATCATGGCAGGGAGGCATGGCAGCAGGAACAGGAAGCTGAGTCATCACATCAGGAAGCAGAGAGAGCAAACCGGAAGTGGGCAAAGGAATAAAATCCTTCCTCCAGGAAGCCTCCACCTCCTGAAGGTTCCAGAACCTCTCCAAACAGCACCCA